CGAAATCAGAATATTGTGCACATAGAGTTACTATATATGATAAATGAAAGGTGTTTGCGTCACTTCTGGTGTTTTCGTATCGATAAGTAAGATGGAAATTAACAAAACATATTTGACAGTTAACCTATATCAAAAATGCACTTAGTGACTTTATGCAATAAACTAACCATATTATCCTCAAACCAAACTTTCTGAATTTGCGTGGTTTCAAACTAGAACCGACGATATGGCCGATCGATTTTCCCAGGTTCCAAGACTCAAATAAACTGATAATTTGCAGATTTTATGGACCAGATAAGTAATTTAATCGTTTTAAATAAGAAGGCGGGGGAAATAATACACCAATCAGACGTTCTGCTACAATTTATGGTGCTGACCATTTTCCGTCTAGGAGTAGTCTTTTTAATGCAGCCTATAAGTCGACGGAGCCGTCAAAATAGCCTCCCTTCGGAGCAGGTTTTTACGATAGGATACCGTAAAATAGTAATGAGCCAATCCCCATTACTGGCCCTTACTATATCTTCAAGGAGTAGCCCCTGCATTACTAGATTGTTCCTAGTATCCAACTTCGATCAATCCGCCTTTTGCCCCTATCTCTTATCTCAACATGAAAAATACTGGCTGTAAGCAGTGAATCCAAGCATTTGTATTATTAATGATTATGAACAATAAATAGAGTTAAGAAACTGACTCAATCAATGCTAACTGCTTCACATTTTTAACATTTTTAATTCCTTCTGATAAAACTTGAATAACATAATAGTTCATTTATAGAGAGAACTACAATAATATTATTGTTATTGGCTGCTCAACTGTGCTAAACATACAGAATACTCAATCAAACTATAGATAGTATTTATTTTTTAAATAAGAGAGAGTTAGGTGGGACCACTGCCATAGCTAATATACCAAGAACAGTATACAGGACCGAATAAGATAAAGCCAAGATCAAACAATATATGTGGTGATGGAAGATTCCCAACGAGTCTAAAATAATAGTTTTTGCCATGTTCTGCATCTGTTCTCTTCCAACACCGAGCCTCTGCAAGAAATTATTTGCAATAACAGGGATGGTTCCTCTGTTTCCGATCCGTGGCCCTTACAATATATTAAGATAAAATTGAACATAATTAAGGATTTTTTTGTCTATTGGCATGACAGACCTTGCACACCTTTAGTCAGCCTTAACCAGCAATATTTATCTCTAACTATCTTACAGTATTTTTTTCCAGTTATTTGCATGCAGCTCTGCATTATCTTTGTTAATGCAATAATAACCATCCGGTTTTGGGCCCTCCATGTGGTCTTTTGCCCAACATTGAGGCATTTGTGTAAAAGTTCACCGACGGATTACTTCGAAACATATACCCTGCCTATCTTAAACTCCTTGTCTTCAAATTAAAATATATTAATTGACCAGCTTCTCTAAGCAGTTCTTTATTGGTCTTTCTTCTCCATGCATTAGTACTCCGACCGCAGATCGCTCTGGTTATCGTTCAGAGGATTTTTTTTTCTCAAATCTTCAAATATTTCTTTCTAGAGTGTTGGTTGGTGTCTGCATATTAGAACTGGCTTTGTCATAGCATTGTGCACCGTTAATTAGATACTTGTTTTGATTTAAATACCTTATTAAAGGATAGAACCTAAAAATAACATGATTAACGAAATATTTCCGAAATAGACATGTTTTTATTTATAAATTTTTTAATGTAACGATAACAATTTTTGGTCCGCTAACATTAGTTAGTTTGTTGGTAAAAGCTTTCATAAAATCAGTAATAATTCCGAAATTAAGCGTTTGATTTAATTATTGTCAGAAAATTTCGAATTAGTGTAAACGATTCGTCTACATTTAGCGAGTTTACAAGCTAGTAGCTGGTGAGTTTAAGTGCCTGTGCGGTAGTAATGAATGACACGCAAAACTTCCCCTCAACCAGTAGCTAACTAACATGCGACATTTTATTGACACTAAAACCTAGAATCACCGGGATATTGGCAGCTAGTTCATTAGCGATTATGGTGATCCATAACTAGTTTAATAGCTAACAAACCCACACGTTAGCGAGTAGTAACTAAAGCAATCCGCCATTCAACTATTCTCACAGATATTTGCAATACGCTTGTTAGCTAGTGAACATTATTACACTGCACAAGTAGCGGTTCCGGATATAATTTGAGGTGGAAGCAATGATGGTAATTATTTAAAAAAAAATAAAGATAACGCTTTTAGGAATAATATTTTCAGCTCAAAAGTGATTACAATTAGTGGCTAAAGTACCAGCGTTATAATTTAAAGAGATAGAGAACATGTGATTGTTTAAGAATTTAACTCAGATCACACAAAGTAACAAATAGACCAATAAAAAAACATATTTTTGAGTTTTTGGGAGGGGGAGCTCGCTTCAGCCTTAATGCCACCCCTCTTGGAAATCTGCTAGAGCCCTAGATGAGTTCACTATAGACTACAATGTTATTTTGTAAGTTCAAGTTAAGGTTGAATGAAATTTTCAGAAATATCGTAATCTGTGAATAAAGCCACTTTTTATCAAATTATTGGGTTGAAAGATTTTGAGTTTTCTTTAAAATATCCCTCTACATAACAAACTGTTTACGTTTAATGGATTATTCATTTGCATGAATCTCATCACCTGTTAATCCTCTTCCAAACGAGGTTTATTTACCTTTGTAGCATTTTGCTGCTTAGAAATAATCCAGTCTTTACTAAGATGTCAACGCGTGATTTTCGTATAATTTTATTTTACGAGTTTAAACCCGGCCGGAATGGGTTCCAAACCGCCAGTAACATCAATCAATTGTGGGGGGAGAGCAGCATTAATGAGTGCACTGTTCAACGGTGGTTCGAAGGTCGTGGAAGGACTTCTTCTCTTGATGACGATGTTCTGAGGGCTTTGGTGGAAGAAAACTCCTGTACAACTATTCGACATATTACAGGGAAACTTAACCTTAGCAAACCGATCGTCCATGAGCATCTAAAAGGGATTGGAAAGGTAAACAAATATTAAATGTTGGGTTCCACACAGATTAAACGATCGCAAAAAAAAAAACAACAGCGTTATGAAGTTGATGCTATACTACTTTGTCGAAACAAAAACGACCATTTTCTGTCCAGAACTGTTACTTGTGATGAAAATTGAACACTTTACGATAGCATTAGACGTTCTGGACAGTGGCTCGACAAAGGAAAAGCAGCAGAGAATTTTCCAAAGCCCCCAACTCATCAAAAAAAGGGTGATGGTTACTGTTTGATAGGCTTCATTTTGTTTGATACACTACAGCTTCTTAAATCATGGATTAATTCATCAACACCGAATCGTATTGTAACCAAATTAATGCAATGCATCAGAAATTGGCAATAACGAAGCCATCTTTGGTCAATGAGTATGGGCGTTTGGCGTAACCTTCACCCTAACATGTGGAAACAACGAGGTTATTAAAGCAGAATATTTTTGTAGCCTTTCTTTATTCTCGCATTAATGATCAAATTATCTTACGATTAAATTGGAAAGCAAATAGGTATTTATGAGTTTTCAGTTCCTAATTAAATTAATTTATGAGAAAACGCCTCGTTTCTGAGAATTTTCGTAGATACAAAGTTTATAGGATACGATGACAGAAAGCCATTAACGAAGTTTTAGGCAGATGTTAATAATTTGATAAAAAGAGGTCTGTACCACCCACTATATTGTTATAGGAGAAGGGGAAGGAGGGTGAAGGGAATCGGAAACAATATTTTTAATCATCTGAGGTTGAAGCTTCCCTCCTCAATCTCCACCTCCATATGTTTCAACTGAAGCCATGATTCCATCCTTATAAGACCGAAACCATAGCCAGCTCAAAGAGGTTTTCTCAACAGAGTGGATCAAATTGTTTATTTGTTTTTTTCCTCTTAGGCTATTTTTTAAAAGCAATTATTCTCTATTATAATATTAAAAAAAAAAAAAACATTCTCTCAGTGTCTTTGGATTTATTAGAAATTAGTTATTTATATTTGTTGCTATTTTATTTAGTTTTTAGTTTTTTACATTAGAAATAGAAGGGGGACAGCTGCCTGACTCTGTCTTCATCTTTGGTTAGGAGTTTTCATCAGTCAGGTCTGTGTGCTGAACATGTTAAACACTGCAATGTAAGCCCATTAGGATTGAGATATTTGAAACCTCTTTTCCATTACCTTTGAGAATATTCTTCTTATGTTGTAATCAGTCCAAACTGTAAAATAACAATTTACTAGAATCAGTTCCAATAAAGGTCATCTTCTGGCAAAAAGCTCATTGTTTATCTCTGAAATGCTGTCTTCCAGCAACGTTAGCGTCCTAGTAACACTCTCTCCTTAGAGTCATAGTAACACTCTCTCGCAGGCCTGTTTTAACTGATTTTCAGGTAGTATCGAAAGCAATAAAATATATTTCAGTAATATGTTAAATTCTCAGTTTGAGATGCCCAGTTTATAGCCCAACTTGTGTTTAGTATATAATCTGTTGATGAACTCAAAAGTGTAACATTAAATAAAATAATTATCACTTCAAATGATGTATGTAAGAAATACCACCAAATAAAGGGGATTTTCAAAATCCAAATTTGCCTTAGCTACTTCAAGGGCTTAGATATTTTGATGAGATTTTGACTGTTATGTCTACATGGATTATGAAAAATTATTTATATCAATATTTGGTTTAGTGAATTTTCTATTTTATATACCTACTGATGCCTCATTATTCTTGCATAAGAGTTTATATAGCCTGGTTCATCATTATCAGATTTCATTTCATCAAGAAATTACTGTATAACTTTCTTCATCCTCAGGATTTGGATTTACCTTCAAGTGTTAGTAGATCTAGGGAGACATACAGGACAAAGTAATTATTGCAGTGTAATAACTGTGTTTTTATTGTGCCAGCAGGTCACACAAATCAATTTGCCATTGAAACGTCCAAAAACAATGACTATGTAAGTCAAGTAATTACAATAAAGCAAATATAAAATTATCAGCTGGAAAGAAAACTGGGAGTAATAGGATGACCCTGGTGAAGGGAGATTCTTAATGTGTTTGCATCTGTTGAGAAAAAACACATCAATTTAGGTTATAGTGGTGAAGAATATTAATGAGATGAACGTATAAAAAGCAATAGGAAAAAAATAAAATATTGATAAAATAATTGCAATGACAAATCAGTCTCACATGATCATATTACACTCATACATAAAATAGAATTCATGTAAGATACAATGAAAAACATTTTAAGAAATGTCGGTAAAAATAAATATTATTATTTAATTTTACTGATCATCCTAACCAATATTTTCTTCAATTATTCACTACAATCAACCATAAATACACAATTATGAATATACACTTTTTTTTTTATGTTCTATAAAGTCATTTAAAAGGTTACAGAATTTCCTAAAATGTAAAAAAAAAATCTTTGGAGTTGAACAATTTGGTGGAGGGATACAGTTTTTTAAATATTTTGATATGTTCTAGTCCAAAGTTTATTTCCTTTGTTTTTGTTTTTAATATCCTGAAAGTGTTACATCAACTGAAGCAATGTAATTTATTTTTCTTGGAAAATTACTTACGATGGAATGAAAAAAATATTTTAGGCGTTATTAGGAATCAAATTTTATTTATTTTTTTCTTATGCTAAAAGGAAAGTACTGATACTTTTGATATATAATTATTTGGAATAAACCATTGTGTAATAATTTCTAGCATTTTAGTAATTCGACATAGGGCTAATTAATAATTTTTATTTTGTATTGGACTTGCAGGACAAGATTTTGAAATTCGGCATAAAAACATATTAGTCGACTAATCTACATACATAGGATATAGGATGTGGGATGCAATCAGTTTTTAAGATTTCATTCTTAAGTACGTTAAGGCCCTTTTTTCCTGTTTTTTTTTTTTAAATAAATTAAACTCAATTTTATTGCTGCACATGAAAACCAAGACGAATCCTAAGCAAATTTTACTCTGAAATAAGCTTATTACCACTTAACATTTAGTGTTGTCATGTGATAGTATGTATAAGTTGAAAAACATTTTATTTTTATGATTGACCAAACATTTTACAGTATAAATGTTATAAAAATCAAAGTGAACCTATTGCTTAGTACACTGAAATTAGGCAAAGTGCTAGCTGAATTTAAAGAGTTTTACAATTGTTAAATCATAATAAAAACTGTTTTTAAAAGACATTATTGAATGAAAAAGTCAACATTCAAGAGATAGATTTATAAAAGTCAAAGGCATTAAAAATAAATAATATGAGGAGTTAGTCGGGGGATGCAGTTAAATAAATACTAAATTTTTAAAATAGTATTTTGATCGTTACGCTGATGTTTCGGCCCACTTTGTAGGTCTTTATCAGAGTGTGGTATTAGGCACTGTAGGAAGCAGTTGATAGACTGGCAGTCGAAACAGGTCTAGTGCACATGTGTTTAATGTGCACCCCTGGACCAACTCCTTCACATATTACATCACGGTCAACCGTCTCTACATCAAAAATAAATAATAATAATAAATGGTAACAAATTGATTTTTAATTTTTTAATAGAAATTTTGGGGAAAAAAAAGAAGAAAATTTGAATAGAAAAACAAAAGTTTTATAAGATAAACATGACAAATAACAGGAGTTGAAAGCTCTACAAATGAAGTAAGCTAATGAAGTTTTATAAATTATGTTAAATATTAAAATATATTAGCTTCATTGTTGCTTGTAGTGTCGGAGAATTTCAACCACCACTTATTAAAACCATGGGGAATGTTTTTTTTTATATAATTACTTCCTTTTGATTCTTATTATTTTTTAATATATCATACTGCTGTTGAATATCTTATCCTGTTATTGTTTCGCACTATGATAAATCATTCATCACTACTGATTTTATACAAAATATGAAATAGTATAACTTCTTTTAAACACTATTTAATTTAATGCATTTGAAAATATTAAAATTATTTAAAAAATGTATGTAATGTGTGAGTACAAAAAAATAAATAAATCTGTTGTTAAAATTATTCAAAGCATTGAGAGATAGCAGCACCTGCCTGCAAGTTCCATCGAATTAGAATCAAATAAATGAACCAAAAAGTGACTTGACTGAATTGGTTTTCTGTAACAATGTTACATTAAAATAATGTGAACCTATTTGTATTAGATTTATTATACTTTATTTATTGTTTCAAGTAGCGTTTTCTGTCTTATAAAAATATGTATATAACAATCATTAAGGCAAAGTTTGGATCGACAATTTTTCCTTTTTTTGACGCATATTTGATGTGCAATTTTTGCAACAAAAATCACGTTTGACCAGACCTGATGAAGGCCTAAAACTTGAGCGAAAATATTTGCACAAAGAAAATAAATAATTTTTTGTTTACTTCAGCAGCAACCCCCAACCAACTATTTCTCTTGTAAGAATCTAGTCAATATTTCTCTACCTTTAAAAATAAACTATTAATGAAATAAAAACTGTATATTTGTATATTTTGAATTGTATATTTTATTTTTAATTATGTATTAACTTTTTTGTTCTTTATTCTGTCATTTTATTTCTCCAATCATTTTTTTTTTATTAACAATAAAATTAGAACTGTGGTAACAATGTCATGAAAATAGAAAACCTTTATTCTAATGATAATTTATTATTATCAGAAATTCTCCAGATTGAGATAACTGAATGAAATATGTAAATATGGCATATTGTTTACGGTATATAAAATGTATAGCAATAATCAATTTAGTATCTATTTAATTGAAAGTTATTGATAAAACATCAAATCATAAGTCTATAGGCTTATAATTTAAATAATGTATTATTAATGATTATCGGTTACTTTTCCAGTTATTAATCTAAATGGAAAAATTCAGAGGTAAAGTTATGCTGAAAAAAAATATTAAAATTCATTATATCATGATAATTTGGCCTAAAAAGGATTCATCAGTTTAATGCATAGATGGCTTTTGATTCTTATTTCACTGTTGCATTTAAAACATTGAAATCCATCCTTTTTATATTACAATTCTAATCGTTATTGCTTAAATATTAAGGGAAAAAAGTAAACCATTAAATATCATTTTAGATATCAGCAAACATAAGATTTATTTGTATATATACATATATATGACATAAGCTTTAAAACTGTTATTTCGTTTCACACACATATTGTTTTTATAAGGTTATGAACAATTAAACTATTTCTTAAACCATTATGTTAATTTGAAGGGGGTACATTACCAATTGTAGAGGGTTTATTATACTGGGACAAGTTGGATTTATCTATGTTTTCTAACAATATCCTTCTGGCTTCACTCAACTGTTTTAAATAATTATCCATATTTTTCCTCATATCTTTCACTGATTTAGAATGATTAATAAGATTATTCCGAATTTGTACTTTTTGATTAATGCCATTCAATTGTGTAGAACAAGAATCGATTTTTTGTTTCGTCTCTTCGAAGAACCTCTGGTTTTGTAAAATAAAATGCCGGATATCAGTATTAAACTTTTCCAAGTCCGCTCTAAGTTCTTCTACCATTTTGAATCCCCCTCTTATCGCAGTGACGTAGCTTATCTTTACTGATAGCACCTAACAATTGAGAACCGAATCACTCTTGAGCTGTATGAATTAGTGTTTCGAAAATTTAATGTTTTCTCACCTGGTTTAATGAGTAATCATCTCTTCCACAAACGAAAATAATAATCAAGTTTTAAGACACGAGCGTAGTGTCTGCCACCTGCGGCACTACCCGTGTTGTTAAAAAAGGCTGATTTAATTACTTCTAATAAAACAGAAACATATTCTTTACATAATATTTTCGAAATATAATTTGCAATATTTTAATTCCAAGATATATACAACAATCTGTGGATACTAATAATCATTTCCTATTTCTCCTGCATTGTACCATGATTTTCTGAACCCAATGATATTAATAGTTCTGCCAGGATTGAATCCAGAAATTGTCTTTATCAAGATGCGAAAAAAAATGTGTTTAGTATTGAATTGTAATCTTTAAGGCCAATAAAGAAATGATCCTACAGTTTTAGGTGTAATCCAAACCACCACCAACGGTATGAAATAAAGTTCCTAGGACCAAAGAGGTATGATAAAATGTTTTGAAAAAATCGAGATATGTTCACGGCTTCTCAGGAAATTTGTCAAGTAATACATTTTCTGTCCAACAGATGACCTGTTTTGACGGCCAATCACTTAACCTCCTAACAAATGTTAACTGATTTTTCGGATTAATAGAATACCAACACAGTTGGATAGCAACAAAGGGAAAATTGTATTCCAATGTTACACGTAGGCCCGTGACAGTTTTCATATAAATAATATGGTTTGGTGTAGTAATTGGCCAAGAAAATATTTTTTTTAAATAAAAAAAAAACGCTGAAACTTATTTAATGCTTCATAGAACGAAGTCCTTGGAAACTCAGGTTCATCATTGGGTTAAGTGAAGTGTAGATTTTAAAAATACTAACAATATAAAGACAGCGCGGTCTTAAAATCATCAGTATTTTCATAAAATGCTCCTCCGATGTATAATAATGGATGGATATCTCACAAATCCGAACAATAACAATAAATCGATACGGGATGGCAAAACATTTGGTCGATGAAAATCGATAGTATTTTCATAAAATGGTCCTTCGACAATCCAATAATGAAGCTCAATATTGAAGAAATTCGATAAGCTAGTTTTTTACTATCCTACCTTACTAGGCAAGGAAATTATTGCTATTGGGTCAAATTTCCTATGTGCGGTTTTCGACGGATCTATATGTTTCAGAGCCTTATAAGTCCGAAAAACACATTTTCAGCCATTGTTCTATCTGTCCCAAGATTATATCTTATATATATATATATTTTTTTTGTTTTATTCATAATTGACAAAACTTTAGAGGTTCTGCTACGCAAAATTACAATCTTATGACATTTAAAAGGAAAAAAAATGTTCTGGTTGATTTCGAAACCTTTAAATAAATACGTGAGAATGAGAGTAATACGTGAGATTTGAGTAAATATGTATAATTTTGTTTCAAAATTAAAAGAATGAAACTATGTTGGTTATTTGTTATTTAATTTATTTGAGGTTGTGCATATTTGACTACTTTGATGTTATAATATAATTGCACCGCCAGACAAAAGTAAAGGGTCGCCTACAAACGTCGGTGTAACTTTTTGATGATGAAAACAATAAATATTTCTCTGGTACCAGAATGGTATTAAAAAGATAATTTAAGCACATTTTGCTCACAGTTCTATATTAGTTATACATTGGTTTTGAAGTTATTTAGAACATTTTGATGGCAAACAGAAGAAAATTAACCTAAGAGAAATCGATCGGTGTCCTTACTTAAACGGAAGAAGATTTTTCACAAAATCACATTTTTACAATTGATTTTTACAAGTTCACGCTCTTTTAAATTGCATTCTATGGGAAACAGACTGCGTTGTATCATCCAGTAGTTCAGCACCGTAAAGAATTTCAGAGCGAACAGTAAGAAGAAGAATTAACAAGTACGGATTGACATCCCGTTCTCCAGCAACTGGACCTCTGCTTTCCAGGGAGCACCATGTTGAGTGCTTGACGTTTGGCCAGGAACACCTAAACTGGACTCGGGAAGACTGGAGCCATGCGTTATTCCTCGATGAATCCATATTCAGCCCAATGTCTCTAGATGGCCGCGAAAAAGCATGGAGGAGACGGGAGAGAGGTAAGCTCTTTGTAATGTTTCTGCAAGGATTGCTTTTAAAGAATGCTCAGTGACGGTTTGGAAAGGCATAAATTTAAACTCCACTACGGAGTTGGTTCTTGTAGACTGGGCTACTTAATTGCTTTGATATATAAAAGGTTGTTCCTAGAGCCATTTGTGGTATCTTTTACCAGAAATATAGGGAGCGAATTCATTTTAATATTTGTCAATGCTCGCCGCATGCTGCTCAGCTGGTGTAAAATTACCTCCAACTAGAAGAGATCAAAGTTATGGCATGGCAACCCAGAAGTTCGGACATGTTTCCAATAGATCATAAAGCTATTTTCCTTCATCTACCTTTTCAATTGATGTTTAGGTCTTAAAAAATAAGTATACTTAGTCATCATACTTAGACTTTTGAAACCACCTGCTTTCATGGTGACTTTTAGTGAAAGTTGTTGAAATTTAAGGATCGAAAATTCGATTTTACTTCTCCATGAAATTCCCATTCGTTTGATACCGCACTCATCAAAATCCATTTCTCTAAAGAGCAGAAAAAGTGATTTATACTACCGTGTTATATATAGTTTAGATTGACGTGTGAAGCAGAAATCGGTATTGGTATGATATAAAATACTAGTTGGCTCGTGCGAATAATTCCCAGAAAATTTTGTTAAGTGAAGAAATATAGAAACAATATGGAAATAAGTAGGTCCTATGTTTTATGTGAGGAAGAAATTAATATTTTTTCCTTGGTCGGTTACAATATTCCATTAAACATAATAGACCAAAATATTTGTACAAATTGCTTTGCAAGGACCTATTGTTAAACGCTGACTGGAAAGATGATAAAAGTAATAAAAAAAATAATAATGCCCCAATCATGAGATTTTCTAAATTATTAAAAAAAGAACAAACATTAGCTTTAAGAAATAATAAAGTTACCTTTAAGAAATAATAAAGTTAATATATCAGCCGCTTGTATATAGGTATTTATCTAATTTATTTATCTTTAGGTTGTTTTATTTTTTATTGTACATAGTTTTTGATTATTATTTTATTTTTGCTAATTTTATATTTTCTGTATATATGGTATGAATGTGTTATATCATATATCACTATAATTATTGTCCACGTGACAGATTGTTATATTTCTAAATAAATAAAAATAAAAAAAAATATATATATATATACTTATATATATATATCAGCCAGCAAAAAGTGTGGTAGACTACTCTACTTCTAAATGCAATATCATTAAAGAGGAAGACATTAGTAAGTATACCAAAACTAATGGACTATATCTTTGTTAATAATTGTCCCATTTTAAAGATTTTTTTTCTTTTGTAGGTAATTTAGTAATATTTCTAATTATCATGGGTACAATCAAGAAAAAATGCATATTTTTATTGATTTATTTGCAAATAATGTTTCTTTTCCTTCATAACTGTTTCCAGAAATTTTGGGAGAATAGGACTATTTTTCGCATGTGAAGGAGAAGAATATCTTCAAAATGAGTGTTCAATCATTGGATTTGATGAAAAATTGACGAAGTTACCGATAAAAAAAAAACACCTTTTAGAAATAATATATAGACGAATTAACATAGACTAATCGAATTAATATAGAAATAAATTAACATAGACGAAATTAAATTTTTAAAAAATCGTTGTACTCTTGCTAAATAGCAATCTAAACGACGAAACTTCTTGAAGTTCGGCCATTTTTCTTAAATATCTTGAAGAGGAATACTGATAAATGATACAAAATAGTTATAAGTCAAGTACCAATTGAATTGTGGACTCGTTAGCTATAAAATTTAAATTGCATCTAATTTAAGAGTTGGTTATATAATCTTTTTTATTCAATTATTATGAATATTACATTAGGTTGAGTAATAGAGAACTTTTTTTTTTTTTCATATTCATATTTCTTTATTGAGTGATATCACATTTTATCACGAATAAAGATACCAATAATAGTGATAGAATAGCTCATTCACACTCAATGTAAAATAAATAAAAATAAATTAAACAGCAAAATAATATTATTAAAAGTAAATGTATATGAACAAAAAGAAACTAATCAAAACAACAACTTAAATATAGGAATACTTAGAGAAAAATTAAAAATATCTATATGTAACTGCTGTATTGATTTTGGTCATACAACTTATCTACAAATGGGATACGTTCAAACGATTCTCTAATATTTAACTGTACAAAATTGTTATCTGTTTATTGTGAATTGGTAACAGTGAACTTTATTTGCAGAAACAGAAAAAAAATTCATTATAAAAATTGGTCTAACAATATACAGGGTGTCTTAGTTCTTAATGTCCAAACTCTGGAGAGTGATTATAAAAAAAACAAATTCCAACAAAAACGCTCATTTGATGCATGGGGCGATCGATTATGAACGGAAAATCAGTTAAAATCAATTTTGTGTTTTTCTTAAAGTAGTCACATTTTTTATTGAATCAGAAGGAATTGTTCAAAAACTGTTCAAGATAATTAAATTCTAAGTACACCATCGTAAAATAAACAATTTTTTTTTTCTTTTTTTTTATAAAACAGTGATTAAATTTACAAAGATCAATAATAAAAGGTACTTTTAGGAGGTCAAATACGGCAGTTGTACATTGAAATGCCGGTCGTGAATGGGTACTGTAACTATAGCAGTACAGCGACCGTGCTGTACCACAAAGTCCCTTTTATCATTGACCTTACTTAATTTAATCCCTTATCTAGAATCACTCCTCCCAAATTTTAGCAGTTAAGAACTGAGACATGTACATAACATGTCTACATATTTTGGTAATTGAAATTTCCAACTAATTTTTTTTAATAATCGTTCGAAACTTTCCCGCCTACAACTTAATTAACATTGAACATTAAACTATAAAAATAAAATTTTAGTAAGAAAGCACAATGACATTTGAATTAAAAACGTTGAAAATTTTTACTTTTTTTAATATAGTG